CCCTGCCTAGGCTTTGGTGTCGTCACTTTGAGCACTTTTTGCCGTGGCGAGCAATCAACATTCAGATCTTCTAAAGAGAGTGTTTCTAAGGGTTTTTGTCGCGCTTTCATGATGTTTGGCAATGTTGCATAACGAGGTTCATTCAATCGCAAATCTGCCGTTAAAACCCCAGGAATCGTTAACTGAACATCCTCTAGCCCCCCATATATTTCTCGAGTCACATCAATACTGTCATTGGAAAGGGTTACTTTTGACGCAAATGTTCCTTGAGACCAATTCAAGAGCCCCGCCAACATTTGGCCTGTTTGATTACAATCATCATCAATGGCTTGCTTCCCCATAAACACAAGTTTAGGAGATTCTTTTTCAACAATTTCTTTAAGTATTTTCGCAACATGAAGAGGCTCTAAAGAAGGATCACCTGTCACATGAATGCGCGATCTGCCCCTAAAGCAAGAGCTGTCCTGAGCACTTCTGAAGCACCCTGAGGCCCAACTGTTACAACAACAATTTCTGTAATATTCCCTTTCTCTTTCAAACGAACAGCTTCTTCTACTGCAATCTCATCAAAAGGGTTAATCGAAAGCTTAACTCCTGCTGTTTCAACACCAGATTCATCACTTCGCACACGTACATGCACGTTATGATCCACAACTTGTTTTATGGCGACTAACGCTTTCATCAATTCTCCATCTTTTTAAAAACTTTTCTGGAAACACAGTACGTTAAGCTAACGATTTTTTCCAGGCTTCCACAAAACGTCTTTTTGCCCATTCTGGTTTGCAGCACGCGCTAACACAAATAACAGGTCTGACAAACGATTCAAATACCGAAGCACTTCTGGATTTAAGGTTTCTGTCTGAGTGCATAAACTGACAGACCTTTCTGCACGGCGCACGACAGAACGTGCCATATGCAAAGAAACTGCAAGTTGCCCTCCTCCCGGAAGAATAAAAGACTGAAGAGGGTGCAGGTTCTCATTAAAGTGGTCAATTTGCTGCTCCAACGCCTCTACTTGAGACACCTGGATGCGAAGCTTTTGTCCTTCCTCTTCACCCTCTTTAATAGGTTGAGCTAAGTCTGCTCCTAAATCAAATAAATCATGCTGAACGTGCTCTAATAAACGTGCAATTTCTAAATTGTTATCCTTTGCAAGAAAACACGCCTGGCCACACAAGGCGTTAGACTCATCCACGTCACCAATCGCACAAATGCGCACATCATACTTTGGCACACGATAAGGCCCACATAAACCAGTCTGACCTTGATCTCCTGTTTTTGTATAAATCTTATTGAGCTTAACCACGAGCAAACATCACAACAATAAGAAGGAGGATAAGCGCCAAAGCCTGTAAGCCAACACGCGCTTTCATCAATGTATTACTGCGAACAGGGTCTCCTCCACGAAC